TTTGTTACTTTTTGTGTGGGGGTGTCAGCAACTTTGTTATAAATTTTGTTTTGATTTCACAGCCAACCTCCGTTTATGAAAAGGAAAAAGCACAACAAACATTCTGTCACCACATTATAACTATGCACGTTTAATGTGAAGAAGCTGATAGAGGGAAAACGCACAAATTTTATGGCGAGTGCATATTATTATTCCTATAATGGTAAAAGCATAACTAATATGTGCTGAGGTCGAAAATGTAAACGCTATAGGTACTCTTGAAAAAAGTTTTCCAAAAGTAGAAAATGTATCCATAAAAAATATAGCGATAGGTAATTTGGTGCAAACGTCTTTGCACCGGTCCCCTTCGTCAAGACTTACCAGAAGGATGCTGCTGACATCATGATGACGTCACCACTCACCAAAAGCTCAGGGCGTGTCCTGCAGGGTTGTTCCCATCGTGAACTGCAGGACCTCGTACGATTAGCACGCGTGAAAATACAGGTTTTAGTTTAAGGCACGGTAGGCCTATATAGACGTCAGCGTTGTTTAAGACGCACATACCACGATCCGTCTTCTTTAATTGTCATTATGGGGCTGTCACTTCTCATTTTCCAAGAGTTCGATTTTGTTCGTGTTAATGATGTAGGCCTTCATGCCGAGCGTAGGAAGAGAATGCAGAACTCCATTAAACAACAACCAACTTGACCACATTAACGCACTAATGCATGGCTCTGATGTTAGGTTGAATAACATACACTGAGTTGTTTCGGCTGCAAATACGGCCTTGTAAATTTGCGTCAAGAGGAAAAAATAGCGTTCTTTCGGAAACATGGACGAGTGCATTGTGGAGTCCGGGGTGGGGGGGGGGGGGTAATGGGGGCCATCCCCCCTTTTTTCAGGGAATAAATTAAAACGTTGCTTATCTCCCTCACAAGCCATCAGCTACTGTACACATAGCTGTTTGTTTGATACTACACTGCGCCCGATAGCCTACTATATATTTAACCCCCTTCCACTTCTTGAAACAAAAATATTCGAGCCCTCCCCCCCCAAAAAAAAAATCATTCTTCTGGATCCGCCATTGGCACAGGAATGTTGCTTTAGGCCTACTTGGCATATTTTTTGGCAGGCGGAGAACTACAATTTACTACGTAGCTTTTGCATTTCGTGAAAGTATCATACATAATTCTATTAAGAGCTAACACTTCTTTTCTGCCGCATTTTGTAGCTACTAACGTTTCCTATTTCTGCCCTGCTATAAGATATTAAATGGACAGCCATCAGACCGGAAACGTGCAGCAAAGCTTTATGTTATGCACTAGTAGGACAAGTTCCCAGCGGTGCCATAAATGCCTTGCAACTTTCAGTGTTTACTTCCGATCCACCCGATGCAGCAGTCCTTGTGGAAGTGGCCCCTGGTCCCTATACTGAGACGTGCGTTGGCCACCCTTGAAGAGACCACACTCGCCCCAAGAAGTCCAAGTTCATTGTCGCTGTTCTAAGAAATATCGCTGAAGACGTGACTTGGGTCGTCATTACTGGCACAGGCCCAAACGAACATTGTGACTTGCCTGTCCACGACTGCGAACGAAACGTGTGCATTGGTTGCACACGCTTTTGGCAATGCTGCATACTTTTCTAAGAAGGCAGGGCAAAACTTAATGCGATTATTATTACAAACGCAACACATGCATACACAATTCCAGGGTTAGTGTGGAAGGCCTGCAAATTATTAAACGGGGCCTGAGGTGGGGAAAATCTTACTTGCCCCCGTTGCTGTTTCTTTGAAACACGGAACACTGATTTCTTAGTAAACTTGACTAAGTTCCAAATTTCTCGAGCTGAGCCGAGAGAAAGATCCTTTCTCGAGGGCTGTTGAGAGCGACGCTCCATTTTCCACGCGCGCTGTATACTTTGGGGAAAACAGTATTGCTGTGCTCGAACCGCGAGCAAACCTTCATATAAGTTAAGTGGCCTCCTGGGGAATTGTGGAAAAAAGTTCCATCATGGGAACTTCCGTAGTGGACTGCTCTCAATTCATGAAGACCTAAATTAGCAAAGTATACCTGTCAGCTTGTTCTCAGAGTCGAGTCGTTGCATGGTTTGCCCTTCTCAAGGCTACTTCGATCATTATAGACCAAGTAACAAGCTCGAAATGATCTCGAAAGCTGCGGGCCAACGCATCGTGTTCATGCGTGGGTGATGTGATTGTGCCATGAAGGAGAACGTGTTTTCTGTACAAAAATCGGGTTTTTTTTTTTACAATAATAGTGACCCAAATCAGTAGTGTTCTCAGTACGAACTTATGTTGTTGTTGTTGTTTTTTTTTACTCTTGTGACCCCTTTTTCCACGACTGCAATAAGGCATGCATGGGTGATGTGATTGTGCCATGAAGGAGTAGTGTTTTGATTTATAAATACCCATTTGCAGGGCCTATTGGGAGAAGGTGATTTAGAGCCATGCAAGGCTGTTGCTGACGTTTGTTACTAACTAACCAACTTATTTTAAATTCAACCAAAACTCGTGGTCATACCAGACTAAATTTAATTTGGTCTTGTATGACCACTAGTCTTGGTTTAATTTAACAGAAATTCTAACCCAAACAATTGGGTAAAGCACCACCCAATTTTAAGGAGCTGCAGTTTTCACCCTTGCTTGCATGGGTAAAATTAACCCCGGCAATTTTTTAATGTTATGTTTGGTTAAAAGTCGGTATGTACCTAGACTGGGATGTGTTATATGAAAATTGAAGTGACATCATCATGACGTCATAACGTGTCACGTGACGTCATATTTAAAGTGCCTTTTCAATGGCCTATATCTACAGAGCTATAGGTCCGTTTTGGTTTTATCTTGATATGTACCTAGGTAGGGATATGTTGTGACGTCACATTGACGGTGCATTTTTATAAGCCTACATCTACGGAACTATTGGCACTATCACTATGCAACTTCCTACTGATATAATTATGTCCCATCAGTCAACATGTATAGCATTGCATAAAAATACAACAACAAATTGCCGAAACAGTTATGTCCAAAAAACATAAATGTAGTTATGGCCTCTATAGTTGTAGCCGTGCCGTCGGAATTTACTCCTTATTATGCATGACGCAGAAGGACGATTGTGACGTCTTTCCACATTTATTACGCACAGATTTTATGGACGTAAAGTAAAAAGAAAATGCGCAAGTTATGCAACAAGTCAACGAAGACCTTGTCTATAAGCAAATAAATAGAGATGGGATGAATTCAACATATGCCGTGTGGCAGGGTGTTATAAGGCAACTATTGACGATTGTCATTGATTGCATATTCGTTAACTTATGTTTTATTCAAATTAAGTGCATTGTAATGATGAACTGTCCCTTTTGTTTTCGTTTGTACACGCGTAGAAGCTGTAATTAAACGGAGTCAGCACCCATCAGAAAGGAATCACTGTTTAAACAAAACTAGAATAGCTTTACAACAGGGAAAATCCCAATGCATTTTATTTCAAAGCAAGCACGGATTAAAAACACGGTTACAAAACAAGACCCTGGCATCCAGAAATCCGAATAATAAAAAAATCAATGACTCTGTCGCATTAATGTATAACATACTCATTATGATTAACTAATGTAACAGCATTCAAGCGCACTGTTAGAAAAAGGGGGCGTGGCCAGGGGCTGGGGTTTCCGGTTCAATTACCCTTATGCCATGCATAAACAATCCAGCATGATGAGAGAAAGAATGCGTATATTAAATGCATAAAAAATCAGGATTTTAAAAGTCTGAGTAAAAATTGGGAATGTATTATCAGGAAACTATACAAAATAAGATGTGCCACTAAAATCGGCACATAAAACCCCGCATTTCAGGGCTCCTTTTTTTCGATTTTTGAGCATGTAAAAACGAGAAGCCCCAAAAAGGACAAATAATTACACTTTCTCTCATGATTGTAATCATCTCTTTAACAGTAACACTGAACCTTCGCGGGGATATTTAGACTTGAGGACAAGTCGCTAGACAGTCCTGTTTTGTCTGTCGGCGCTCCAATATTTACTAGCACGGCGCCATCGTGATTATCATTTGCTGGCCTCGACATCTACCTACACGCATATTGAGGCCGAGGATGCACAAAGCGTCCCCGCAAGTTAGTGCCATACCGCCCGCTGTATAGACCTTTCTTTTGTTTGTAAACATTGGCGCCATTTTATATGGGCTGCCGTAAGCGCATAAATTGAAGCCGTAGTTGGCTTTTTTTCCCAGAAAAACGTCCTCATAACGCCCTCAATACATAGTAAAAAGGCATGTTTAGGAATTATGTTTTAGCTTTGTTGACAATGTTGTATTTCCAAGAATCAAATAATATTTTGGTTATCTGTAATAACTCTTCTTCACTTTTGCGGTGTTGGACCTTCCATAGTTTTGCAACCCGTGGTTGGCAAAAGTGCAGTTTGCCAACCAAGCGTAGAAAGGTCTACATGTACATGTATATGTGTATACCTTGGAACGGGTATTCAGATCTGTCCACGCCGGTGTGCGCAGTGGACGAACTAAACCAGACCAATTACCGACTTGATTTCGAGTCTAGGGGATATTTCGTACAGGCGCCAGAAATATGAATTTTACGAGCACATAAAAAGACTTGTTTATGTTCGTCTCTGAGCTGTCTGCCTCATGTTCAGAAGAGATCAATGCATTCTGATTATTGTACCTTTGCAAAAATTGGCCCCTTGTGAACTATCACTGAAAGCCATCGCCAATGGGTTGATTTACGAGTCCGCGTCATGTATTTTCTAGTCATTCATGATTGACTTTCGTAAAAACAACTTTTTGGATTCATCCGCGGACCCACGGGTAGTATATTTTGTTTCACGGTTGCTCGGATATTATCAACCAACGGTCTAAAAACAAGCACTCCCCTACTGACCGCAGCACGCCAAATACAAGACTAGTTAATTTCCGATGAAGAATCAGTCGTAATTAATTGACATTTTGTGACGGAATCCCCACAGACAGAAGGTCGAATGTGTTTGTTTCTTCGACTCTTTTAATATCTAGGTATAATCTATTTATACACAGCGTGCTAAGTCTTCGTAAAAAAAGTACAAGCACCCTAATGCATTAATAAGTTAAAGCAAAACCAGAAGAAGAATACAAAAATAGTCAATGTTTACATTCGATATATACACAGGAGTTGCGGTCCTATAAATGAGGGGCTGACGTTGCCTTCAAATGTACAGATATTTACACACACAACTTAATAATGCCGAGGCAAGTTTTACATGCTTCAAACTAAAAACAATAACTTATTTTACTGAGTAAACTTAAAGTTACAATGTTTAAAATTGAACAATTGTGGAGTAGAATCAAATTATGAGTCCAACTTGAAAGCGAGACCAGATAAAGTTTATTACTTTTACGGATAACAATAAAAGCAGCAAAACACATTTTGAAGAACAAAAACACCTCACTTGTTTATAGGTATGTCTATTCTTCAAAAATGTCCTTTGAGAAAATTATGTTTAAAGTCCCTTGTATACGAGAAAACCCTAATTATGTATGTCATTCTGAGAATGTCGTAAAAGTAAGATTAAAGTTCATGGTGCATTTCCTTGCAATTTTTCACAATATGTCGGTAAGGATCATATCCAAATGGTTGACATTGTGATAAAATATTTTTTCCAAAAGAAAAAAACAGACTTCAAAACATGATGACTGGCACTTAATGGAAAACCCTGTAGCCGGAAATCCTTGTTACTCGCGTAATCACACCACCTTCCTCAGTGCACAAGGACTCGGAAAGGTGGTTAGATAACTTTCCAATCAAAAATTATACTGAAGAAAGAATATTAAATAAGTATCTTTCCACACACAAAAACACAGAGGAGGACAGTTTTTAAGTAACGGGTCACTCGTTTGTAAGATTCACTTGATTTCATAAACCTATACACACAAGTGATTTTTATTTTACTGCAATTTTCCACTTTCATGATCACATGACGTCACATGACAACCTCGTACTCGTACCCAGTCATACTTCAATTCTATTTGTCCGCAGTAGCTGCCAACTGGTCAACGCCATGGGGACGAGGTTGTCTCATCATTCTGATTGGTTCTGTTGCCGTGGATACTGTATTCTCAATGCTGGCATAGAGTCTGTTTTGTCACTTTTATGTGACAAACGCCTATAATGTAATGGACCAGCTGAGCCGAAAATCTCGCCCAGCAAAATCGGTTTACAAAGCAAAAAGTCACCTGCGAATGTTGGTCACGCGACATCTTTGCTGCCGTGGCCTTGCTTTTTTATCACAAACAATTTTCTGGAGTCTCTGACGGAACGGAAAATTCCTTCACCGAGAAAACATCGTGATCTGAGCGAGTGATATCGTCATCACTCATCAGGATTAGTCACCAAATTTGGACAGGGCAAACAAAAACAACGATGTGTCGTGCCCCAGAAAATATGAACACAGAGCAGAGAGTGCAGACACCAAAGTGGCCCACTATAAACAAACAATATTGTGTGAATCCGAATGACAGTGGCATCACCCTGACGACAAACTGTCATCATTAATTTTAGGAATGATGTGTTTCTGAGACAATGTTGCGCCATTAATATGGCTCCAGGCTGACAAATTGAAGATAATTAAGGGTGATAACTGATTCTTCTACGGGAAATTTGGAGGGTGCAACTTGATTCCCGAAGGCTCGATATGATTTAAACAGATATGCATTTTCAGGATGGTAAAGGGAATATAGATTTTGATTTCTACATATTGCTCAAGCCTCCCTTTAAAACATCTTGCGAAAAACACAGCAATAAAGTCTTTTCTGTCTGAAAACTGATTGGAAATCGAGGTTGTCTAGTACCCAGCCTCACTGATTTATCGAGTTTTAATTTAGTGCCAGATGACACGCACTGGCGACGTTACTCGAGAAGCTTGGGCAAGGCACCAGGTTCTTCGCTGTATACTTCGTGTCTAATTGTGCAAAATTCCATCTTATAATAATTATGTTTCTCTGATGGTTTTCAATATGTTTAACCGAATTGTGTAGTCTGCTAAAGTATTTCCATTGAAAAGAAACAATTTTCCCTTAAGCTTCAGGCCTTACTCTTCTAAAATATAAATGAAAAATAAGTTAAAGACGGATGCGCTAAACAGGAATCGCACATTAATAAAATTGATGCAAGATTTACAGCACGGTCCGTTGGTCCCTTAAATTTATTTTGTGTAAATATATCACCCCTAAATGAAATACTGACTTTTAGTCATGGAATTTTAAAACGGCTTTAACTTGTATTATCCTTGATGCCTCACTAGTCACAAGATTCTCAAAAGTTCAGCCAAAAGCTGGGATCTCCAAGAAAAGGCTGAGCGACCATTTTGCTCTTTCACGACTTGCCCTGGCCGGCTCAGTGAAACATGTCACTTTGCTCCATATATCTCTCCAGCACAGCACTTGACAGATTGGGCTTGGTCCCGCGAGGAGCGCGTAGCTGCGGGCGCGTCGGCCGTCATCGTCCCCCGTGTTGACTGATAGACGTCTCGGTCGGAGCCGGGGGAACGGCGCATGTTGCGTCAAACATCGGAGAGAACCGAAGAGGGAGAATAATCTGGAAGAATATCAAAAAATGGAAAAGAAAAACAGATTGAGAGATTTGTTTGCTTTGCGATGTTAACTGCTGGAATGTCTCGTCTTGGATCCGATGATTTTTTTCCGGGGGGAGGGAATGTGAACCGCACAGCGGTAAAACAACAATCATAGAACGGCACGATTTGGGATATTATACTCGTGCAATATTATGCAACTCTATGTTACATTTATTTACTCTGTCTTTATTCTCTCTTTACAAGTGCACGTTCGTAATGTAGATATGAAGTACATGTATTTAATTAAAAGTTAAGATTTTTATACAGACACACACTAATATCAAAATACTTTACCATTTAGATATTAAGTCTTTGGGACTTTTAAAAATCAACTCTACGAAATCTCCAATTCCTCGTCGTAGCAATTTATACACCACACTCCTTTGCATCTGTTTTTCAGAAATGTATCAATCCCAAGTTCAGTCGTTTCTCTTTGAAACTGGACTTTAATCTTTGTCATCCATTTTGATGTCCAGTATATATAATGACGAAATTACCCCACGAAGATTTATGCCGCCATTAATATTCATCCACGGCGCGGCGAGATCACTCGCGTGTTACAGAAGTTAAGCCGTCGCGCAATTTATAGTGGATGATGCTTTAATATTAACTCTCCTGTCTTCTGTAATACGTTCTCTAAACATCTCATTTATTTCTGAGATACGGGATAAATCTCTGGCGACAATCCAAATTTATAACTTGTTTTCATTTGTTGATAAATTCTCTCCTGCAGACATTTGTACCGGTATGCATAATGTGTTTTTCATTGATTCATAGTTTCAATGTACATGTATGTATTGTACATAGGCTCATAAACACACCGATTCGTTGATGATTAAATACAAAACAGTTCAAGTTGTTGCGCCGGTTTTATAAGACCAAAACACCAGAGATATATATTCAAGTGCCCGATTTGAGTATACCCAGCACGATATGCGACAGAGGGGTACCCCCCCCCCCCATCTCCCTATACCATATGCAAACCCTATAGACTATTGTTACCTATTCTGGCAACACAATGACCAATGATTTGGGATTAGACTTGTGAAATAGCTTGTGGTTGGCTCAACTCTGCCAAATATCTCACATTTACACGATAATAGATATATGGGATTGTGAAACATCGATTATTTTTTCGAATTGCACATCGATGTTCATATCTTGATATTCACTATTATCAAGTAGAACGTGAGTTTGAAATTGAACTCAAATTTGAGCTTAGTTTTGGAGAAAATTTCCCCAAATGTTCAAAGTGCTGGAAAATGGAAAGTGCAAGTTTTAAACACGATTTTTTGTTGTTGGGGCAACGCTCGTGCAACATCGATTTTCAAGTTTGTGGTCGTGTGTTAGAATGCATGTGGAGTTAATAAGCTCACTTCCTTCCTTCCATAGAGTGCAGTCCTCAAAAGATTAGTATAGTCGCACTTATACAGCTGCAGTGGTTTTTAAGGATAAAGCAGCGAAACTAAATCTCATGGGTATACCCTAACTATCACTCCCATATGGTTGCGTCGTTGCTATAGTTCAATGGAAATGGTAAGTCAAGATATCCTTTGCCTGAAGACACCCACTCATCTATACTACAATCACGAAAATGATTCAGGGGCGCTGCCATTTTCCCGACCGGTCTCCGACCGGTCTCCCGTCCCCATCGCGCCTGTTGGCTGCGGGGGATGCGGAACGGGGCCCGGCTATTTTCACCCCATATTTCCCAGAATTCCTTTCCCCATTGAGCCGGCCGCCATCTTGCGTACGGGCCGGTGTCACGTGAAAATTCGACTCCTATGAAAATCGGACCCCTATTTCCCTATTATTGGTTGATCCCTCGCACGTACGTGACAGGTCACTCTCCCAAAATGATCCTAAAAATAGCACAGTATCGTACTCACGCGTGCGCAGGACTACCAATGAGTCCACATTTCATGGAGTCGGATATTCACGCTACACCTGTCGTGCCACCACGTATACGTATACGTTCGTAGAGGAGCATGCGCTGCAGCGCATGCAACGGTATTCCATGCAACATGCAAAGCTGAAGGCATGCTTGCCCCACATTTTCTCAGCACTACTAGCTTCGTTTGATGGTCGTTTGATGCATTGATTATGCTACAATTTTCTCTTTCAATGGTAAGTCCGGTTTGTGCTATGACACATTATAGATTATAGTTAGTAGTAATTCTTTCGAACACCTCTGGCAAAGGATTATATATAAGTATTCTTTCGAACACCACTGCTGGCAATGACAATTGTTGTTTGTGAAAAGTGTGACCCAATCGCGTGGGCCTCGGACATGGCGATCGTGTAGTATTTAGTAGAAGGGCCCGGTTCCTATAGGGAACAAAATCCACTTTAAAAAAGCCCGACCAAAATAGTTGGAGACATTCTCAATAAACAGGTATGTCATAGATAGAGGGCCGGGTTTTGATTTTTTTTTTTAGAGAAATTTGGGGGGGGGGGGGGAATTACGATGACAGCACAGCGAAAACACGCAACCCGAAAATAAAGATGGCGATTTCTGCGCGATGTGCTGTGAGCACGAATGTCGGACACTTCGCCCCATTTCCACGTCGCCCCATGTCACTTCGCCCCTAACCACTTCGCCCCATGCCCACTTCGCCCCATCCCCACATCGCCCCATCCCCACTTCGCCCCATCCCCACTTCGCCCCATCCCCACTTCACCCCAGCCGTTACATGTAAAAAAAAAAAATCTCATCTATTTTTTTGGCTTAAAAAAAAACTATTTCAATAGATTCACTAATTGCTAACCAACGGAAAGAATTAGCCCATCACCAAATGAACAATTCATAACCAACCTCTCAAGCTAGGCTCTCCCCTACCGAGAAAAAAGCTTGAAGTAAAAGATCCAACTTTGTTCCCAACCCGGCTATACCAACCCGTCTCCCACTTATCTGAGAACGACAATACCTTTGACATCCTAATTTCACTCTTGGAGGAACCAATCTCATCAATGAAGTTGTAAGTCTCACATATCAGACAAATTTTGACGGAACATTTTCCTCAAGGCAGTGAGTTCCTTTGAACTCACTGACCCATACCTACGGGATTCTTTTGAATCCAGCGGCTGATGATTTTATTTAAGCCATCATTTCTCTCATCTGTGTCTCGAGCACCTCATCAGAGAGTTTGTATTTTTCCTGAGTTTCTAGAATTGGGAGCATTTATTATCGGGGTCTTTGGCAGTTTATTTACTGGTCTGCACCCCTAGCCTTCCCTTTTTTATACTACATGGGGCGAAGTGGGGATGGGGCGAAGTGGGGATGGGGCGAAGCGGGGATGGGGCGAAGTGGGGATGGGGCGAAGCGGAGATGGGGCGATGTGGGGATGGGGCGAAGTGGGGATGGGGCGAAGTGGTTAGGGGCGAAGTGACATGGGGCGACGTGGAAATGGGGCGAAGCGTCCGACACCCGTGAGCACGCACGGCGCGCAGAATCGTAAGGCACAAACCGCGCAGGAACAATTTATTTGTAGCTATTGTTAGCCGATGTATTTTTTTTACAAGTTTTCTTTGTTACTCCTTTACACAGGACTCCCGATGACACCCACATCACATGACCAGCTCCAACCATGCTCCAAGCATGCTCCAGTGCATGCTTCAACCAGTTCCCAAAGCAAGAATCTCGACTCAAGACGAAGACGTGACGTGCTTTTTCTCTTTACCCATTCAAAACACATTTTTCTTCTAGCCATAATTTTATTATTTAGAAGTCATGAAAATGAAATAGTGCAAAAATAATCACTCTTTTCTGCTGTTTTATGTCCATCCTTTTTTAAAGTTATATCCTTGGCTTAGTTGTATCCAAGAATAATTATGGAATGATTACCCGTCTCGCTTGAAAGTCTTTCATGGAATGTTTTTGCCTATGCTAAACAAGCCTGGACCGACGTCCCTTACGAAAATCGCTCCGAAAATTTGCTACAATTATATCCCCTGAGTTTTGTCAAAGTACTACCCTGTATTGAATGCAAATACATTATTACTAAAAAATTTGTGTGTGCATTGTACCTGATTTCATTTTCACAGTTTTGTAATAAATACATTTAACATGTGGTGCTTGACATAATTATGAAGTGCTCCAATATGTCCTTTCTTATAGTTTTACTCTCTTCTGCAAATAAACGTGTTACAATACTTTGCTCTACAACCCCATCACCATAATAAAAACACGAACTGTTATAATGACATTAACTACTACTTAATACATAAAAAACACCCCCTTCACCATAACGAATATAAATTGTTGCCCACTTCCCCGGAAATATAAGTGACCATTCACAGGTGTAACATAAGTAGGCATGGGCGTCGCAAGGGGGGGGGGGGGGGGGGGGGGGGCAAGGGGGGCACTTGCCCCCCCCCCCCCCCCCCCCCCCGAAAGCAAAAAAAAAGAAAAAATGAGTTCAATTTTAAATTTAATGAGTTGGGGGGCTAAATGACCCTGCCCTTCTCTAAAACTGATAAATGGAGAATGTGTTGAGAAAAACAGGCATTTTTTTGACAAAAATATGTTTTGCCCCCTCTAGAAAACAAATCCTGGCGACGCCCATGTAAATAGGCCACACAATATCCAACCCCCATCCCCACTGGCTTCCCCCTCCTCTCCTCTGTAGTGAGAACTATGAATACGACGTTGTAAAGGTCAAGATCAAACCGCGTTTCATCTAAACTACCTAATTGTACAGTTGGTGTATACGTCCTTTATGGTTTGGCACCTTGAAAAATCAATGTTCAATTTGACTGGACAATATTCCAGCACAACATTAGTTATGAGCTTTATATACATGTAATGAGACATTGCATGAGACAATCGGTCGGCAATAAATACTTAATTTCATTCAACTGTTGACAGCAAGACCTTCCTAATCGGTGCGCAATTTAAAACAACATTTAAACGGTATGAATCCCAGCACAAACATAAACCTCCACAATATCAGCGATTTCAATA